GTGGGCATACATAGTTTTTTGTCAAAGAAAATTTGACCTAATAACCTAAACTCAATTTTCATTTCAAAAAGAAAAAACAAAAACAAAAAAAAAACAAAACATTAAAACATCTTTTAGAAAACTTTAAACTGATAAAACAATATAATTTACAAAAACGAAAAAAAAAACCCAACAAAAACAACAAAACAAAAACAAACATACAAACGAACAAACAAAACAAACCATGTTACAATCGCATGGTACCGGTAATATAGCAATACAAAACATTTAGACAATTTTTGTAAAAATAAAATTAAAGTTGCTCTATCGATAGGTTAATATTGGAACATTTCTTAACTGTTAATTTTTTTAAATATTTAAATTTCAACATTTTAATTAATGACTGTTTAATAATACAGTAGTTACAAGTTATTCAGTCTATTAACTGGCGTCTTTTTGACTGATACATTATTAGCCTTTTTGTCATATAACGAATTAAACATTAAGAGCGTCACAACATTAAACACCGTTACTTTATCATCACTAGGCCAATCATTCAACAACCATCCAATTAGTATAGCCATGCAATTAGATTAATTTGTCTGCTTGGGGTACGGTGTTGGCCTAATCACAAACACCATGTCTTGGTCAAATCATGTTAACATAATTTTGAACACAGTTATAGCCCCACCGTACCGCTGGGATTCCTCCGACGCAATGTTCTGTAATAGTTCCCGATCATGGAGATCTAATAAAATCTAGGCCTAGAAAAGAAAAGAAGAGTAAATTGAAGTGAATTAATTAAATCGGAATACCTGCCCATCAACTCGATGTGAATAGCGATTTGTAGCGTTCATTAGGACGAGAAAGTATTAACAACGGTTTGACATATTTAATGATTGTTAATATAAACTTCTGCTTCCGAAGCAGGAAAGCAAAATACCTGTTTAGTTGTTTACGCCAAATCAAAAGAAATCATTAACCTTTAACCGGCCTATTTCCTTTTATTATGAATATTAATCCATATGTGTAGCATGCCATAACGCTTCATTACTAGAATTTACGAGTTTGTATTTCTGTCATACCCAACAACAGAAACAAAACTCGCCGCTTGCAGCACGCATAACCAGGCCATGTGAGGCTCTTATCGACTTACATAATGAAATTGTTTTATTATAATTAGAACCCAGACTTCAAGGATTTGAAACCAATCATTTTAATCATCAAATGTAAATATGATTCACCATTACGAATGGTTAATGGTTGGACATTTACATAGGTTTTTTTAATACTCAATAAAACAACCATTGAACAAGAAAATGAAACTGTAGATCGTTAAATATGTAGGTATAAGATACTTTGCTGAAATTGTACAGGCCCAGGCCTAATGTTCTAGGCTACATTATAACCTAAGAAGCATCGCCGGCCGGCTGTGTGATGCCAATTTTTCGGGCTTAAAACGAAGCCTAACGAAGCCATATATATATATATATATGCCCTGTCTCTTATACACATCTAAGCCACATGGTAGAAAATGTGATTTATTTTAGAAATATATTAAATTTTACGAACGTCAACCACCGAGTTTATAGCTTTATATATAACACTGCACTGTTGCATTTGTATATTTGTATTAGCCTATACATTTCAAAAGCCTCGTTTCATTAACCGACTTAAATTCTTGATTTCTTAATTTCAAAATATTGAGAAACGTCTAATGCTATTATGTGTCCGCTGTTAGTAATATATATAGATGGGGTAATCAGTACAGGGGATAATGAATGTTTAGGACCTTTATGATGAACGCCACATGTAGGCCCTAATCAATAGCTGTGCCTATCTTCTTATTGTTATAATAATAATATTATTATTATTATTATTATTATTATTATTATTATAATTATTATTATTATTATTATTATTATTATTATTATAATTATTATTATAATAATTATAATTATTACAGTATATAATATGATGCATATGTGTTTTATATATATATATATATATATATATATATATATATTATATCTTGGTGCGAACTGGGCAAATCTATATATATGATATATAATATGATGTTTGAGGAGGCCATCGGCCAGCAGTGGCCTGACAGGCTAATGATGATTATGATGATGTATATATATATATATAGGCCTATATATATATATAAGGATATTACTATTATCACTACTATTAAAATTACAATGATGATTGTCATATTATCACTATCATAATATTTATTATTATTATTATATTTATAATATTATTATTTTGATCATTGTTAATTATACTATTATCCTTTATGAAAATAAATGTTGTTTTTTTTTAAATATAATTTTACTATATAACCATACAACCTCCTTCCATTACTTTCTAGTACGTTAGAATAGACTGATATACTTGATACTTATTTATTTTCTTGTTATGTTTTGCCAATTTGTTTTCCTTTGGTAGAATAAACTAGAAAACGCATGATTTCTCATAAGAAGTAGATTGGATTTTTTTTTCAACTTACGTGCAGCGCATAATAAACATTCAGTTATGAATTCCAGTCGGTTAGACTTAATCTATAGATCTCGTATACAGTAATTTTCAAGATGTAGACATTATGCATTGGTCCACGGTCGTATCCAGGTTTGCCATTTGGAGGGTTCGGGGGGGGGGGGGGGGGGGGGGGGGGGGGGGGGGGGGGGGGGGGGGGGGATGCGGCGGTATGCAAAGGTGGATGAATTGGGGTCAAAGGGATGGGCAGGTTGGGTAGAAGCTTTGATTTCTTACTAATGGCAACTTTACTATTTAATACCCAGGCCTAACAATAGATCGCTTGTTAAATTGTATATATATTAAGATGTCATGGATACGGGCCTGTGGTCTACTTTATACTTACTTGTTTATGAACGATGATAGAGTTAGGAGTGAAATCAGACCGATAAACAAGCCCAGAAATAACACAAATGGACACGATGACGGATTTGGTCTTCAAAAAAAATCTTCTTAAACAGAATAATAAAATAGTCGGTGCATATCATTACCAACATGCTAAAATAATTATAATTAAAATAATAAGTTTCATAAACCCACAACTTGGTAAAAATGTATCCCCCATCCACTGGACTCTCTCTGCATACAGTAGTAATGTTAATATAAAAAATGGTTATAAAAATAATTGATTATATTACAGTTATATGACATTGTGGAATGGTAAAAGTGTTCATAAATTAAAGCCGTTTATCGAAAATTTCGCATTATAAGGTATAAAGTTTCAATGTTCAGAGTACCTATAGAATTGGAGAATAAGGTGACCCCTATTTTTTCATAAATGTAATAGATTGCATGTAGAAACTGTACATTAAATTATATTCATATTGCTAACTTTGATAAACCTATTACTTCCTAGGGCAATACTTCCACAGGCATACTACACTTTGACCTCTGCCTATGTCACTCAATTAAAGGCTATTACTGAATAAATATGGCCTATATAGAATCACTAATTGATATAGTTTCCTTGCACTAATTAAATTTAATCAACATCATTGATTACAGTTAATAATAGTAATAAGTTGCTCACTTAAATGTAAACATACTGTGAGCTCTTTATGTGATTGGGTAAGATGTATTGCGTCCACGTACGCGCTCGCTCGCAGACCATGAACGATACACAGGACTATCAGCTCGTCACAGAATCTTTCAGTGTGTGGAAGGGTAGAGCGTGAAAGTAAACGTACAAGCCTACATGTATAGGTTATACATAGCGCTTTCTTTGATCTGAACTCGGCCCACCTGCTCGCCGACCCAGTCCTTTATTAAGCTGTTTACACAGTTGATGCTACTAACTGAGCAGGATTTCATCCATGCGAAGTGTATCTCAACATTGCTGCAGGGGGCATAGTTGTCCTCCAATGAGACTGCGCAAGAAATTGAAGCATTTGACATTTTACAGTAGTAGTAAAGAATGGCTGATTTGATACGCGTAGATATTACTAGTTATTCGATTTCATCTGTCATTCGTAAAGATACTTCTGTTGATGGAAAACCTGAACTCCAACCTTTGTTGCGTGAGGTTTCATCAGCAATACACTGCTTGGAAAAGACTGAGAGTATATTCTGATACTGTATTATATCATCATAATCATAATCATAATTTTCACCATCATACATTATTATTATTATTATTATTATTATTATTTTAATTATAGTTTAAATTATTGCTTAACAATATTGCATCATCATCGTCACTATTATTATATTTTTTTTATTATTATCATTGTTTATATATATATATATATATACAGTATATAAATATATATATAGGCCTATATATATCATTGTATATTTTTATGTCTATAATGTCAACGTATACGTTTGTATTTTGTGTAATCGTATTTTATAATAATTTTATTATTATCAAGACATACGTGGAACCTACACTCATTAATAT